GACCATCCAGGGAAATTAAAAGGTTGAGACATCATGCCCGAGCAGAGCTGTGAAGTCTGAACTTTTCTTCGGTTTCTCTAACGCGGAAAGCGAGTTTCTCACCTTTCGGGCAGTTACTGTGGTAGTACAAATACGAAGAAAAATTTAGATTTTACCGTCACGTGAAACGCGCATCGCGCTTTGTTTCTTACAGTGCGATCCAACATTGACCGCCGAAGCGACGTACGTACGTTGTCAACGTGACGCGCGACGTTACGTGGCAGCTCTCGTGACAGAAGCGCCATTTTCGCTCTACGGAGTATTCGAGAACCGTGTACTTTAAATCGTTCGTACGTTTACGACCTCGTACGAATCTCCATCTTCTAACGATTTGACAATTTGTTGCGCGTTTATTTTCCCGAACTGATTACTTGATACTCTTGATTATTCGATACGAAACGAAACCAAGCGATAAAACGATTGTGCTATTTCCTCCAAATTCTGATGCATTTCAAATACGATGTCAAAGCGCAAATGCGTACGTCGATAATCCTATTTAAAGATACTCTTGAGCCAAGATTTAAGTAGAGTTCTATAAAACGATTGTACGTCTGACAGATCGATAAAAAATTATACCACTACCAAAATTTGCATATTTTTTATTTATCTCGCTATTTCGCTGTTTCACGCGATAGGACGATACGCGTTGCGCGTATATAATATACGTGTAATAAAATAATAACGTATCGCTGTTTGGTCGCTAGTTGTGGTACGATCCGTCTCGATATCTTGGATTGATAAAATTGATTCGATCGATCGATCGAATATCGAATCAACGTGCATTGCGTGCAAAAAAACACGTGCCTGTATTGATTTACAAGTTTAGCGTTTGCATCGTCCTGCGTTCCGTCAAATTGTCGACGTACTTTCATTTTATAACGTATTGAGATCTGCATTTTATCTGTGATCTTTTACCGCTTACGATCGTTGTGCACACGCCTCGAGTTATGCAACGCGAAACAAATTGGAAAAATTTACGATCGAAACAGAAAGTTGCAAACAAAAATTACAATCTGATACGATGTTGAAGATATGTGCGTGCTTATATTTTGAATGATTCTATCTTTTCAAATTGAATGTAAGTTAAAAGTAAATCTGAACGTGTTGATATTTTAATCATTTTCATCGTTGTTATTGATTCAAGATCGTTAGACGCATCGAACGAATACATTTCCCTTCGGTTAAAAGATATTTTGCATTTTAAATATTCAACGTCTCGCGTGTAACTTTTGAACTGTGAATGTTTATTGACGAAAGATTTAATGGTAAATTTAAATGTACGTGAATGTACAAAGCGCCAATGATAGAATACTTGCTGTGGAATACTTGGAGAACAAAATAAATTTCAATTTGGATTTTGCTCCTTTATTGTCGCGTTTATAAAAATCTAAATCTGCACGAATGTATCTGCACGGTCTGACAGTAATTTTTGATTTTTAATCTAACGATAATTATTTTGACGTAAAACTGGTTAAAGATATTCTGCCAATGAATTGACGTTACTTACCAACAATTTGTTGTAACCGTGCTGAGATGGCGGCATCACGTTCGTTTGATTGGTCGAGTGATTCATTTGGTCGGGGTATGATTCTGAATATTGTTTGTTCGTTGAATCTGGTGGCATACTCATTGGTTTTGCTAACCAACTTCGATGAACTGAAAAAAGAGATTGTACGTTTTCATCTCGTTTCATAATTTCAAACGTAAATTTCTCCTTGTACAAAACGTTCGATGTGAATGAAAATATTTCAACGAGAACCTTTGAGAACGACGAAGCAATTGAAAATAAAATATTTGTCACGGCTATTCTACTGGAAACGCGTAAATATAAAAACTTGATACGACCGTCGATTGCTCCGAGATTTTTATCCGATCGAGAAACGAAGCTAACGACGCGTTTCGATATGTTCTATAAATAACTGACGTCTCGGTGTACAGAAATTGATTGATTCGATTACTTCGTTTTTGAAGACCAAGAATCGAGTCGAAACGTTAGATCGAAGCTGAAACACTGTGAAACTTCGATACTTCTCTTTAGGTTTTCCCGACGTGGAGAAAGTTTTTTACCTGTGTTTGATGACGAATATGGAAAGAAGTTTAGACTCTGCCGCGCTGTGAGACGTGCATTGCACTTTTTTTTTTTTT